GCAGGGATCTGCCTTTTCTTAGGTCTCATCCAGCACAGAGGCAATGGACTCATTTAACTGTCTTGACTAACTTTGGTGTGGCTGTTCTGGGTTGTCTCCTCTGTGTGGATGTGCTATTCCAGGGCAAAAGTGGAAAAACTTCTCTGCTTTGCTAGCTGAATAAGTAATAAAAAGTTGTTTGTGGTGTATTTTTTTTATTCCGTAGCAGCTTTGCAGGTTAATCCCCCTCTCTGTTCCCTGGTTAGGTGCTTAACAGCAGGCAGGGATGTTTGCCCTAAGCAAGGAAATTCGTGCATGCAGCCATTTTTGGCAGACTAATGCCTTCACGTTTCCCCTTATGTGCCATGCTGATGGGCTAGGACTGACCTGCTGGTGTGTCCCCACCACCCATGACTGTGCAGCTCTGGGGAAATGACCTGCTGTGAGGACAAGGGACTCTGCTCTTATCTTTTTTTCACTGAAAACACTTTCTCATGAAGTGTAGGGCGGGAAGCAACTTGACTCGGCCAATTTTTTTTTCCAATACAACCTGTACCCAGCTGGAGCCTAATTCTTCCCTGTCCTTTCCCTCACTTCCTTTTAGGCCTTCCCTAACCATTGCCGACTCACATGAAAAAATCACAGTTGCCTTCTGTAGGATTCCACTCCATGGAGTTTAATACAACCTGAAAGGAAGCTCCAGTGTAATGCTGTGCTAGCTGGGAACACACCTCCACTTCCCACAGGTGTCGCATGCCTCTGTCTTCATTAGGAAGAGAAAGATGCATGCCGTGTCCAAACTTAAATCCACCCTTGATCGTAATCTTTCTGGACTGCTGCTCTCAGCACCTGAAGGCTGTCTGGAAGACACAGAGGCACCTCTCTCCTTCTGACAGATGCCTGGGGTTATTGCTTTGCATGTCCCTCATTTGCTAAGCAAAACAGCCCAAAGACCAGGATTTTCTTTCCCCTGCAATAAAGGGGAGAAGGTGTGAAGAGGAGTGGGGAACGGCAGGATACAGGGCGGGCTCAGAGAGGCAAAAACAATCAGCTCTTTCTTCAGCCACAAAGATTAGTTGAGATTTTGCTTTTTGTTATCTGCTTCCTTGATTGACTGACCAGAATGTGTTTTTGATGCAAGGGGAGATGGTGGGAAAGGGGTTGTTTTCAGAGTGGTCAGGACTGGGAGATTTGCATGTTTGGAGAGCGAGGCCAGGTGTGTTTGGAGTCTGTGACAGCCATGGCCTGATCCTGACAGGTGCTGAGCATCCTTGGGTACCCATTGTGTAGCTCAAAGGATCAGGAAAGCCCTTTCCCTGCTGTGGCTGATGCCATGTTGGGAGTGGAAGACTCTCCCCCAGTCTGGTATGGTGAGGTCTGGGTAACACCAGATCTGTTTCCTTCCTCACTCCTCCACCTGCATTTCAGGGGATGCAGAGGAAAGCCTAGGGAACCATGCAGAGTGCTGCAGTTTGCTCCAGAGCAGAGCCAAGCTGGTCCCTCCATCCTCTTCCTCAGGAGATGGCTTTCCCTGATCAGGGACTGCAGCAAACAAGGGGCTGTGAGGCTCTGCTGAGTTTTCCTCTGGGCTGCTGACATCCATATTCCTAAAGGAAGGATGGGCCTCAGGGAGGAAGGAGGCAGGTGGTGTTAGCTGTGGTCTGAAAGTGGCACTCTCTTACTCTATGGGAAGAAGAAACTGTAGTGCCTTTGTGGAAAACAAGTGAATTTTCCCTTCTCAGGCCGCCCTCTGACTCTGGCTGTACCACCTCACTGGCGCTGTTGCCAGCTGGCCTCCATCCACAGACCCTGTTTCTGGAGATAGGCTCCCAGCGCCTGTGTGAGTGGGTCAGCCTGGCCCCTGGGCTGCTTTGGCCACTGATGTGTTTTCCTGAGCACAACTCTGCAGCAGCACACTGCCTAAGGCCATCCCAGTGTGTTTCTCTACTCGCTGCCCATCCATATAAATGAGTCCTTGAATCTCACAAATATATGGGGAAGGCTGACACTGTGTCCTGCAGTGTAACTGCTCTTCAGTAATCTCTGGGCTCAGTAACCATGATAATGGTAAGAGCAGCTGCTTGCCCTGGAGTCCTGGGGAAATGAAAGATGGGACTGGGGTGATCTGTGCTTTGCTAGGAGGGAGAAGCAGGATGGAGAAGCACAGCTTTAGGACAGAAGACCCCAGTCACCCTTTGAAGGTTGTACTTTCTCTGTACCATGAAAATCAAAGGTAGGAATGGAAAGCTAATGGATACAGCAGTCCTTGTTCAGCAGACTGGGAAGAACCAGCTTCTGATTTGTTTTTATGAGTGGTTTTACAAGCAGTCTTGTTGTGATGCTGATCAGTGTGTGCCAGCACTTCCCTCCAGGATGACCAAAACAAGGGAGCTTCAGATGACCTGGATACAGCTGCTGTCCCAAGGACAGAGATGGGGAATTCTGCGCTGGTGTGCTCGTGTGTTTGGGGGCTGGAAGGTATTAGCTCTCAAGCAGTTCACACACTGACATGGTCTTTAAATATTTCTGTTTGCAGATTCATGGAGGACAAGGGGAATAACAAACACTGTTTGCATTTTTGGCAGTGGTTTTAATATGCTGAAAAGCCTTTACCTTTAGTGAGGCTTGTGCATGTGTACATGTGTGAGCGTTCACGTGTGTGTGTGTGCCTGGTGTCACAGGACCTTGGGGACCAGTTCCCTAAGCCCAGTTCTGCCACAGGTTGGACACTTCCCCTGGAGACCCGGCCATGACCAGGTTCTGGCACGACCCAGGAAAAGACAGCAGAGTTTTAACGGAGGCTTTGATAAAACTGTCCACTGGGCACACAATTCTGTGTGATCTGATGTGGTCAATCCCTTTCTCTGGAGAGCTGACTTGCTGCCCATGTGGGGCTCTGCATGAATCCGTCTCTGCAGATGAATGTCCCCTGATCCCAGGCTTTGGGCAATGTTCATGGCTGTTCTGCAGTCAATAGGCCTCCCCACAGTTTTCTTCTTTCACTTATAAGTTTGGGGCCCCTGTTCCTGATGGGAGCGCTGCTCTGCATGTGAATTCCCATTTTGTTTTCCACTTGTTTGTGCTGGAGCCTCAAGGCAGGAACCAAGCTTGAGGCAACATTGTACTCTCTCCCTTCTCCTCTCCCCCTCCATCCCCACTGCCTGCATCTCCAGAGCAAAGCATGATCCTTTCTCAAAATTTGTTTTTAACATGCAATACACACTGTGTTAACCCAGTTACTGAGAAGGAACAGATTTATCAGATAAATCCCAGCAGGCCTGTACATGTTGTCACTGTCTGGTAGAGTGCAATAAAAATATACATTAGAATAAGTATAAATACATATTTACAGTGTACAAGTAAAGCCAGGAGTACAGACTCTGTTTTGAGCTTTCAGAATGCACATTAATGACAGCTTAGGCACAGCATAAAACAGGGGTGAGTACATTTTAGGTCTCAGTCAGAAGAACGACTTTGGGCTTTCAGCAGTATAACTGTGGGCAGGAACAGACCTCTTTTTCTCCTGGCAATAAATGAATTTTCTCCTTGGACTGTTTCTTCTTTGCTCATGATGGCAGCCTTCCTTCATAAGCATTTGGAGTGCAATGGCTGGTGCCAGAGCCCCTTCTCTAGGGTACTTCCCACCGGTGTCATTGTCCAAAGCCATGTGTTCAAGGACGTAGTTATGGAGCGGGCTGTGTGCTGCTACAATGCCCTGCTTAAGTGAAAGCACTTGTCTTTTTAATGCTATAATAATACTTTGTCCTTCCTGTTCAGAACACAGGGGACTCTACAGACCTGAGTGAATGATCCCACATCACCAGGAGGGGTGGAGAAATGTAAGCCAGTGCAGAGACTTGCCAAAGACTGTACAGTGAGAATGTAGCAGAGCTTGGAGGGGAACTGGCTCTTTCCTTGTTCCCAGTGCTTTGCTTCAACACTAGACCAGGAAGAAGGGGGAAATACCACTGCTCTGTTTGTATAATATTTGTAAGGCGCTCGCATGCTGTGCCAATGTGTACAGGCCAGGTCACTTCCTCCTTTAAGAGAGTGGCTGGAAAGCAGAACTCTGGCACTTGGCGTTGATATCCAAGGGCCATTCCTGGCCATGCAGTGACACAGAACAGCTCTAAACCAGTATGTCCAGCATGCAGTGAAATATTGTGGGACATACCAGCCTGGATTCCAAGAGCAGCCAGTCTTTCATATGGTACTGAGACATGAGCCTTATTAGCTTATGCCTGGTGATGTGGTGTGGCTCTTCCTGGAGCTCGCTTGGTTGCCACTAACCCAGAGATCTTTGCAGCATGATGCATATGAGGAATTCATTTAGAGACCCCTGTTATCAGCTAGGGATAGAAGCTGTTTTTTCAGTATCTTCCTCCCACTCCAAGCTAAAAATACAACACAGTTAACTTGTCATTTGATCACAGTAAATGCTCTGCTGAAAGAAAATTACTTTAAGTAACTGTTGCCAGAATTTAGGACCCGGGCAAGTCTCTGCAGAAGCCCTGTCCAGGTGAACACAGCACCCTGTATGCAATCCATTTGCATGCCCTAGCCTTATCTTCCTAACCATCAAAGCAGAGCAGGGTTATGGCACCAGCTTGGCACAGATTGTTGCAGCCACTAGCCCAGGATTTCCCACTCCATTGCTGGTCAGTCTGAACCGAATTCTGCATGTGGTGTAAATCCAGAGTAATAGTGACTTTGGAAGAATTCCTCTGGATTTGCACTTGAGCAGGTGATGTCAGACCTGGGCTGGTACCTGTTGTACCTGTTGTAATTGAAATGTGAGAGTTCCCACAGGTTTCTTTGTCACTTACTAGTATGTGCAAGGCCCTGGGGTGCCAGAGCACCAAGCCAGTGACACAACTTTGCCAGTCCTCAGGGCAACATATGAAGCTATATGAGCTTTATGAGGTGGGCAGCCCCACGCTGGATGGAGATGCTGGGAAGAGTTGTCTTCTCTGGAGCATGTACTGGCAGTGGGAGGTCCAGCAAAGACCTGGAGCCACCCCTCACTTGAGACTGTGTTGGGTCTCTCGGTGCCTTCGTAGATCCACCTTGCGCTGGAATCCCTTGGCACAGAGCTCACAGCTGAAGGGCTTGAAGCCAGTGTGCTTGCGGCTGTGAGTGATGAGGTTGGAGCTCTGGCTGAAGGCTTTCCCACATACCTGGCATTTGTGGGGCTTCTCCCCTGCAGGGCAGAGAAAATGGTAAGAAACACATTAACGGATGGGAGAAGGAATGCCCTTTAGCAGACTCAGACCCGAGTGGCTATGCTTAGGCATCAGGGTACTGCCACTCCAGCTGTCCTGCTAATGTGTCTGCATGCTGATCTGGCACCAGAGGGTGAGAACAACCAGAGGCAGTCCTCCTCAGCTGCATGGTCCATGTCCTGTCTGCATCCAGGGCTGCGTACAACCATGACAAGCACTGGAGGCTGGTCAATAACCACCTCCTTGTCACACAGAGGAGGACCTGCATCTTGGTGATGCTTAGACCTTCTGCTGTCTTATCACACAGGGAAGAATGACTTTCCAGTGTCTCTGGACTCTTATGCCAGGTCCAGTATCTCTGTGACTGGGGACTATGTATGGACAGCAATATGATGGATTCTAATTTGCATTTACTTATTGGGAATATTTTGTTTCTCACCAGTGTGGATGTAAGTGTGTTTCTTCATATCTGACTTCTGGTGGAAGCGCTTGCCACAGTATTGGCAGGGATAGGGCCTTGTGTCTGAGTGGATCAGCAGGTGAGTGGAGAGTGTGGAGGAACGCTTGAATGTCTTCCCACACATCTTGCACTCAAAACTTCTTTCCTGTTAGGGCAAGAAAATCATGGGATGTTTGTGGCTGCAAGGCACGTGACAGAGCATGAAGAGTGTTAAGAATGTTGAGAATAGTAGATTTGATAAGCAAATCTTCTCAGCTCATGGCTGATATGCCAAAGAGAGCGTGGGGAGAGTTACCTATGGAAATGGATTACACCTTGTGATCCAAACTCCTGTGCCCTTTAGGAGAAGGCGAGGCACAGAAGAACCAGTAGCAGCGATCCTCCCCTCCCATCCAGAATTCTCAAGGGCAATCTGAGATTTATGAGAGTGAGATCTATGATCTTCAGAGTTCCTATCACAGTTATTGTGTGCTGCAGGAAAGCCATCATGTTTGTAACTTAGGAGATGTCACTTCCTTTATAGCAAAGTAAGCAACAACTAAGGACTGAGCACCCATGAGCTCAGAAGAGGTAGTTCTCTGGAAACACACCACCCACCTGGGAGTGAATATTGGTATGCTGCTCCAGGCTTACAGCATGTCCAAAAGTTTTGCCACATACTTCACAAGCAAAGGGCCGAGTTCCACTATGAGACCTTCGGACATGGACCTCCAGTCCATGGGGAGTGGAGAATACCTGAAAAACAAAATGCCCATGATGTTTTTGACATGTGGCAGCTGTGTCTCCATCTCTGTTTTCAATTTCTTCTCTTTATTTGATTATTCCCTTGCATGGGCCCCGTGAACTGCATAATTCCTAGTGCCCTTGTCCCCTAGTCAGGAGAACAAGTAGGTACCCATTTTAAGCCGCATGCAATGCACTTTGGTGTAATGCAGTGAAACACTGATGCATGCAGTGAAAATCTCTCCAGGCCCTCCCCATCCCTGAAGTTCTCCTCTGTGACTCACCTTGTTGCATTTCACACAGTGGTAGGTCTCCATGTCTGAGGAGTAGTGCATGCTGTAGTCAAGAGGAGGCTCGGTGCTTGGCAGGAGGTGGCTTCCATACAGGCTAACTGGGTGCTCCAAGAGGGCTGACTGCATGGTGGAAGACATCTGTCGGTAGCCATATGGCAAATGGAAAGCATCCCAAGAAAAGCCAGTTTTGTAGAAGGTGGAGGTGCTTGTTGTGTTAATGCAGTCTTTGATCTGCAGACCTGGGATGGCCATCTCTGGAGAGGGAGAAGTACGTGTGTGTCAGGCCATTGCCTGCGGCTGAGCACCAGTAAAAAAGTTCCCCAGATACCTTTCCCCTCATTTAACGTCCTGCTTGACCCTGGGAGTTGCAGTTGGTAACTCCTTCTTTGATTCAAACCCTGATCCCCATACAAAGTTCCAATTATGACTTTGATCTCAGTCTGAGGAAATTTTTGGGGAGTGGGGATGCTAAGGGAATATTAACTCCCCTATTACTTCTGTTTCACGTGGTGCTTGAACAAGTATTGAATGGCCACCCGCCTTGACCCATAGAGCATGGAATTGCATTACTCCTTGAGATTTGGAAGCCCACTCATTGGGAATCATAGCATCATCCTTCAGGGAGATGCTGATCTAGACCAGAAGCATAAAAGGAAATACAGAATGCTCTTGATGAGCTCTGTCTGGAATACGTTTGACCACTGATGTCAAAGTAAGAGCTGCCATTTACTGAAAATCTGGACCCAGTCACAGGGGCTCCATAAGCCAGCCCTGCTCTGACATCTTGTGCAATCGTATTCTTGGGTAGCAGACCTTGAGCTGAAGGGCCTGGCAGCATCCTGCTCAGGTGCTGGACAGGGACACTTTCTTCTTTCAGTTCAGATGGGTCCTTTTCTTGTTTTGGAACTACGCATTCTAGGTCCTGTTTCTTGATGTCCTCCTTGTCTCCTATGGCTGTAATCACACAGCAGAGTCACAGTTAGTTTATTGTAGCTGTTAAGAGTCTGTTAAGGTGGATCTTGTACTTACGTATCCAAGAATGAATTCACACATGAACCCATGATCAGTTCCCTGAATATGTGCAGAGTGATGCAATCAGCGCAGCAATCAAGGTCTGTCCATTACTGACAGGGAAATTCCAAGCAGGATGGGATAGGCAAGGTAGAGGGGGGCAGGAAGGAATGATAGGACATTTGATATCCTAGATGGTTAGAGAAAATTAACCCTAGAAGGCCATATGTCTGTAAGAATAATTTCCCTGTTTAAAACCATTTTCATTTGTGTAAGGTAACTAACAATCACTAACTTATTAACCTCCCCACCCCTCTCCTAAGAGAATTAGGTATTGTTAGCCTGAATTTATGGATGGCCAAGTCGGGAAGCAGAGAGGGGTGGTAACTGCTTATGCAGCTGCAAAGGTGACTGCAGAGCCTTGTCTCCTGCTGCCCACAGTCCCATTTCTCCATGCTTGTCCCAGCCCTCAAAGAGACCAACCAGCTCCTGTTAGAAGTAGACTTTATAGTAAGTATCTCAAATGGACAGAGGTTCCATACATGTGCCCCCTTTCTGCTGGAGAAGGGACAGGGCTGCTGAAGGACAGTAGTCATCTGCTGTCCAAACCTTCTTGTGCACCGGAGACACAACAAATGGCCAAAGGATGATGGCAGGAATTGAAATTAAAAGGTAACCTCCTTTCTTTTTTATCAAACTTATCATAGGGCTGGACTCTAATTAGATAGCCAGAGCTGGAACAAAGGATAAGTTGATCCTAGATTTGAATAAAGAAAATTTGAATGGTGCCTGAAGGAAGAAGATAATTGTCCCAGCCCTGCTATTGCACGGATGGCTGTGGGAGAGCCTGAGCCGGAGCAGAGGGAGGACAGCAGGCATAGGCAGAAGTAGTGTTGGTTGGTGTTAATACAGTATATAGCAGCTGGGCCTTCCCCTGTCAGTGTAATGCCTTTCACAGTCACTGTTAAGGTATCAGTACTATTTTCTCATTTTGGTTGTAACCTTCCTTGCAAATCATCAGGAGGTGGTAACACACGGAGGTAGAAAAGATGTAGGTCCAGAGATAATGTAGGCAGTGAACATAGCGAGCTGGAGAACAAGGGGGCAGAGCTGTGAGTTCGTAGAAGGCTGACAAGTGCAAGCTCTTTTTCCAACTGTTGGTTGCCTGAATTTGGCCATCTTTCCCCAAAGTGACCAATTCCACATAGCAATCTTATATCCAGAATCTCCCCAACAGCCCAGCAGGAAACAAAGGGAAGATCTAAGTTTGGTTTCAGTGTTACTGTGTGGATTTAGCCTGAAGAAAGGGGGCTCACATTGGGAAATGAGTTTCTTCTGACGCTGACATCCCTGTGTGGAAGCTCTTAGTTGCTCTTTAGTTCGCTCATCCTACTCCTTTCATTTGCCTGCTCAATTATTGATTTGCCTGGGTATATTCTTACAAGTCCAGCAGATGGATTGACTCACCAGTGAAGGGAGAGGTTACTGGATCCCACGAGAGTACAGGCAGGTCATCTTCCACAGAGCGGTGTTGATGATAGGTATGAGCCTTTTTGCTCTTCACCAAAAAGGAACGTGGCATTTTCCATTCACTGCCTGGGCAGAAACACAGAATAATGGCAGGTAAATCTCTGTGGTTTGGGGCGGTAATTTCTCATGTGTTCCCTCAGCACATCAGCTCCATGTGCAGCAGTGATGAGAATTAAAACCCTTCAACTGGGGAGACAGAGAGCTCATCTCAAAGCTCCCTCCACCTAGCTGAAGAGGGGAAAGTGGTTTCTTGGGTTTAGGTGCTTGATGGATCTCAGCTCTGGGGAAAATACATAGCTGTGGAGGGGGCTAAGCAAAAAAACTTACTGCCAGTCACTGCCACTGAATGTAGAGATGGGACAGCAGATCAAGATGGGATTGCAGATCACAGTATGCTCCATAAAAATTACACTTTAAAATCTACCCCTAGGTTGAGGAAAAGGGATTACTGCTGTCTTTACATGTTAAGTGGAGAAATCGAGGCATGCTTAAAATGAGTGCTGTGTTACAGACCAAACCTGTGTCTGTGGCAAAGATCTATTAGAAACCAGGATCTCTCTCTTGTAGCTCTTTGCTTTGCTTGCAGGACATGGTGCATCCCTGACCTTACCCTCCCTGAGAAGACACAGTGGGGACCACAGGTTGGAGATCACCCATTTGAGAAAGCATCTGTCTTAGCGTTTGTACCGCACTTACAAGAGCGCAGTCTCAAGCCAAGAGATGGGCTTCTCTGTGAAATTATGAATAGTAATTATAGAAACAACAATAATAGGAGAGAAGCAGTGGAAAATTCCCGCAGCCATGATGTGTGGTGGGTTTCCTTCTTGTTGGCTATAGTATTTTGTATTTTGGCTGACAAACAACAGCCAAGCAGAGGCAGAGCAGAAGTGCTGGGTGAGAGAGGTGGATCTGACTCAAATATCACAGGCCGTTGAAATGATGGGTTAGGAACAAACATAAAAAGCTGAAATTTAATCATTTAAAATTCTCTTGCAATGCATCTGTTATCTTTTCTACACAGAACTCAGCCCGCCCTGTGCCCACTCCCCATGGCTGGTAACTGCTCTCATGCAGGCCGTACGACAACAGGCTCGATGCTGTGTACAGCAATGTCAGCTGGCACCTTATTTGCATACATATTTGCATTTTCCCTTGTAATTGTTCAGGACAGTAGCACTAAAAACAAATCTTGCTATATTTCATATGAAAAGTCAGCAGTAAGTGCTGGCTCTGTGTTGATGGGAAAGCGCATTATTAAGTCTTTTTGCCTGAGAGCAGTTGAAGTGTAGCCTACTTATTTACTGAAAAATAACAAAGTTTGCTTCTGTTAAGTAGGTATGACCTGAAATGTCTGTGTAAGTCAGGACAGAGCAGTGTGGGCTCCTGGGATCTCAAACAGCCAGGGATGGAAAAGATCTGCTCCCTAGGGAGCTTCTCAAAGGTCCAGAAGTGCCCGTACTACCCTTACATGCTAAATATAATTACAGGGCCCAGTGGTTTTTTTTTGTTTAAAGGTCCAAGGGCCAGATTTACAGAGGTGCCTATGGCTGCAGGTATGTGTACCATGGGATTCACACCACGAGGTCTGCTGGGGACAGGTGAATTGCCAAACCCACTGTCGTTCGTGACAATCGGGTGACCAGCCCAGCTGCCTTTGGAAATGCAGTTATAGCTCTTTTTAAATCTGTTCAAGGATTTCCACTATTTCTCCTATAACTTCAGGGATAACTCTTGGTATCTCTAGCCATTTTTTTCTTCTGAAATGACTCACCTGTTTTTCTTCATCTTTTTGCCAAGAAGTTTGCACGTAACTTGAGATGAATAAGAGAAAACAGAGGCCAGGAGTAGATTTGTTAGTTTAATTTTAGAAAGAGGACAAAACAGTACTGGGAATGAACCATAACTAGGCCCTCAAAGAAAGAGATGCTGAATTACATCACTGTGTTTACTCTTCTGTAACTCTCTAATGAAGCTCCCTCTAAATATCGTAAAGTGAAGTGCTTAGCTCTGAGTGTCTCACTGTTCTCGGTCAGTCCCAGACGGGTTACCTCTGTGTGGAGCTGCACTCTGCAATATGGATGTGCCCCAAGTTAAAGTCCTGCCACAAACCTTTTATGCATGGAATTTCCACTCAAAGGGATTTTCCCATGTGGTGGGTCAGGACTGTGTCCACAATGGAGGGTATTCATACCAGCAAGCTTTAGACATCCGATTTCTCTGCCTGAATTAACCAGATAATTTCCCTGGGCTTCCTACACAGTGTAAGAAGAGGCTCCAGCAGTACCTAACTCTGAATGCAGGGTGAATCAATGGGATTTTTCTGGATGGATTTGCCCCAGCATATGTAAAATTCAAATTTGGTCCAGTATCTTGACTGCTGATAAGGGCTTCTACTGAGCTCAACGATCTTTAATGCACTACTGAACGTTGCAAAAGGAAGTTACCTTCCCCCACCCCATTTCAGAGAGAAAACAGGAACTGGGAGCCCAAAGCGTAGTTAATTAACAACTACATTGGACTGTCTATGTGATTCACACAGCCCAGTTATAGGAAAGCTAGAAGCACAGATTGTGAGAGTAAAAATACTATCTCTCCTCGAAATTCAAGATTATCGGTAGCAAGTGATCAGCTGCTACAAATGGAAACTATATTTCACAGGGAGAGTAGCACTATGGACAACATACCCCGATACATCTTGAAGTCATCAAAGCTTCTGACAGAATTTAGCCTCCACCTTGTGCTAAAAATTAAACTTTCTTCTTATGGAGTCTGTTCTTGCCAGCCCCTGTGGCAGAGGTTTCTACCTTGATTTGGAAGTGTCCCAGGGAATTCCTTGCCTGGGCAGGAGCACATACTCAAAATGGAAGTGTAGTGGCATTTTTTGGATTTAATACAGAACGCAAAATCAGCAGCCAGCTAGAATTTATATTCTTACTTGTTTGCCATTCATGTAGCTATACAATAATGTTGTAGTCATCTGCCCTAAGGAAAAGACAGCCAAAAGGACAAAAGGCAGGGGAGAAAAAAACACTTCACTATTCAGGAACCTAACTTGAAGCACCTTGGAAGGGCTCCTTCTACCAGTCATAAATTCCCCAGTCAGGGCTGAAAGCAGACCCAGCATTCGCAGGTTCCCCTCCTGTGTTCAAACTCAAAGTTCCTTCGTTCTCAGTGATGCTCTCTGGTGATCTTGTGGAGTATCACATGTAAAACTGTAATGAAATACTGAAACACTGGAGGTTGTGCAAGAAACAAATTAAAAGGGGCTTTTTTGGGAGGGTGGTTTCTGACTTTAGGATCCTAATTTCACTTGATCCCATGCCTCGTGAAGCCCTAACTCGACTTCACTGCATGGCAGCTCACAGTACCCAAAAACAGAGGATTGAGTCCTTTGATACAATTTAGAAGAAATCCATATTCTTGATTAATTAGATGATGGAGCTGCTCTCTCTGGTTCTTTCAGACAATTTATAACACAAAACACTGTACTTGGGAGCAGGTGTTTGCAAGATTGTGCTGCATTGAATCAGGAACCCAATTTGCAAGGTAAGTTCCATTCTAAAGCTGACTTTCATTTTGCTCTAAATTCAAGTAATCCTGTTTTCAAATTTACAAGGTTAATTGTAGTATTTTTCCCACTGCACTCAGTGGAAATACTTGATTTTAACTTACAGTTGATATATGTCTGCATATACGTTGATGAGTGTACGAAGTTTTAGATTAAAAGAGGCTTCTTTCTTTCCCACTGCTTAATTTATACTTAAATCTTAATATTGCTTTTTCTCTGTTCTTTCTGGCAAAAGTGAAGCTTCCAAAGATAAAGAATAGTTTGTCTTTCAGAAGACTGCATTTTTGAAGAAAATAGCACAAACCAGAACACAACCTGTGCCTAGAATTTTTAAAAGCCCAAATAAAATAAGAGGTTTTACGAGCGCCTGACTTTTTAAATGAAAATCATATTCAAAAAAGAATTTCAGGTATTTACGACAAAATTAATCACATGTTCACGGGTCCACCCTTGCAAAATCTTGGGGCAAATAATTTGAATGTGGCTCTTTTAGCGGAAAAATGAACAGAACATTTTTCGTTCTTGTGGTAAGACTGGGCAAATGGACATTATGGCAGGGCTAGAAAATTAGAGTGGAAATTTTGTCCAAGAAGTGGAGTGGAAATGCTTGTACATCTGTAGTAGCTAGAAAAAAGTGTTCAGAATATAATTGCTGCAGTTGTTCTTTAGAAATCTCATTTAGCTCCTAGTGACGTTGGGATTGCCACTGGCTTTAGCAAACTTTGCCTTAGGCTGCCATGGATAAACAGACTTAGTGCAACCTAACAAATTCTATATCCCCTTAACATATAGATGCACTCACTGCGTGAACTTGCAAATCATTTGTTTTTCTGCTTAATATATTGAATCAATCTGGTGGTATATGAGGAGTGTTTATAAATAGCTAATTCCATATGCTAAAAATTGTTACGCTAATCAGCATATACTTCGAGCACATACTTGGAAAGGATGGGAAAATAATAAAATAAAAGATAGGTTTGAAGGAAAAATCCTGAACAGGAGAGACTGACTTCTCATCTAGCAAAACTGGCATAGATTAATTGATGGCAGCAGAGGTGTGCTGTTTTCCAAATGTAAAGTTCTGGCCCTGTAGAACAGCAATTACAAGGAAAAATACAGTACGCCCTCTCCTCAATGCTTAAGTACAAAAGTCTACATCTAGAAACTATGCCTGCTGCATGGAGCTTGCTGGGATGCAGGTATCTGAGACTGTTCTCACATTTTTCATATTTTGTTCTACTGATACTGAGTGAAGTAAGTATATGGTATGGAATTTCATAAGGTTTGACTCATTTGAATTAAGCGAACCATTATCATAAAGGAATCCTCAGGACAAGTGACTTATGCAGTGGAATATGTTACATATTTGCAAACACAAGCAAAGAAGAGAAAGCTTAGAAAAAACGTATCAGAGAAATGAGAAAAACAATGAAATTAAAAGTGTTTAAAAGAATAAATCAATCACCTGTTTGGGGGACCTTACT